GCCTTTCTCCAGGTACTCATAGAAGCCACACATGCAGATCTGCTGCAGTAGGTTGGGATGAAACTTCTCAAAGGCCTTCACACCCTTCAGCCGAGCCAGAATTATATCCACATCTTCACCTGAGCGTTCTGCTGGTCTACAAAACAGATAAATAGACATTATGGTCTGGGTAGACTCTCTCTTACCAAACCGACCAACAAGAAAATCCTGACACTGCAGCGATGCATGTGACAATTATACGAGGACAGACAAAGTTGTGTCCGTTAGAATAAGCACATTGTGCTGTCTGTAGGATAAGGAATGTGTATTAATGTGATCAAGATGAATGTTTTTGTCATCTGTCCTGTCAAAATACAAGCTACGAACCATAAACACATTAATAAAACAAGTGTTTTCCAAAATAATGTAGAACTACAGCTTGATTTGAACTAATCTTTGAAGAGAAGTTGATACAATTGTTTGCAGCTTTTGAACTTTGTGGAAGTATTTGCATTGGTTTCTGACCATACCTGAGCAAACAAAAGTACATAATCCTTAAATTAATTATTATATGAGTTATATGTTCAGTCAGGCAGCATTTTTCTCCAATGGTGTATAAATTCTGTCATGTATGATGTTTTTTTTCTGTAGATCACAAAAAAAAAAAAAGAATTTTAAAGAGATTATACTGTACATTCAAACACCATAAAAGCAGTACATATGTCTGTATTACAAGTCTAACTTCATCCTCAGACCAAAACTGAGTTGTTATTCTATGTTTTTTAGGTGAACTATTCCTCTAAAAACAGAGTATGTGCACAAAACAGGTTATGATAAAATAAAATAATTTTTATTATAATATATATATTTTTTTCATTTATTATAAAAATCAAATATAATGCAAATACACAAGAAAAGTCTGTGACAATATGAAGGAATTTTCAGAATTGATTTTTCACAGGTGTTTTACTTACACCTTGCATTTTTAATTACACATTGTGTTGTGTTTTAGGGTTAAAAGAAACATCTGTCAACTTAATGGATAATATCCTGGCAGAAAATGATCAATAACTTTTGTTTTTCTACAGATTTATTCTGAGTATAGATTTTATAGAGTATAGATTTTTAATGCTCAAAATTAAACATGAAAAACTGACTTGAATTGATATAATGTGACCATTTCAAAGACTACTAAAAATCACTTTCATTAATTGAAATAAAACAAAAATAAAATATAAATATTAGATGAAAAATTTACGAAAATTAGAAATGTTGCCTTGGTGAAATAAAATACATTTGAACTGAAGTACTAAAACAACTGAAATAAAAAATAAATGAAAGCTAAGTAGAATAAAATGACAAAAACACAAACTTAAACTACAATTTAAATTAAACTGTACATATAAAAACAAAAGCTAATTCAAAATAAATACTAAATAATTCTAAAACAACATTTAATTTCTCACAGCATCAGTTCAGTTTATTATTCTGAAAAGTGGCTTCATATTTTTGCATAGCATGAATATCAATGGAAGGGAAGGTAACAGGCAACAGAGAGTTTAACTCTCTCTGTCTTCCCAGCAAAATTTAACCCTTTCATTATCAAGCATATTAAACAGAATACAGCACCAGACAACTAACTGCTCCTAATTTTAAATGATACGACTGAGGGTCATTTCAGTCAGTATAGCCTATTCATGGTGTCGTGATCTGTAGAAACTGCCAGAGCAGCACAATGCAGCACAGTATCATCCAATAGTGCAGTCAGTTTTTTTTTCTTTGTGTGTGTGCACATTATTGATCTCCACAATGCATCCTGGTGTCGGATGTTAATGAGACCATGGATATCTTTAAGAACCATTACATTGATCAGTGTAAAGACGATGTGCTCGACTACGTTTGAAGAGTCCATTAAAAACATCAGCCACTGAAAACCCATCACACCCACTAAGGTGATCTCACTTTTCCCTCCCATCGCCATGGTAACCTGCAAGGATGTGTCTGGACTAGGAGGGGCTGGGAGAAGGTAACAGATATTCTTAGTAATGTTCAGTATGTTTATGCATCTTAAAGTTCAGAACAAAAAAGTGAGCATCCAAAAGCAGCCTAATTATGAACTCTGTTTTAAATAACCTGCAGCTTATTGTTCTTATACAGTCATAAAAAAGTCAGATTTAATGCTGCTGATTAAAATATGTCATTCAAAAATAGGATGCACGCATGAAATTCACATGATGTGACACTGGCAGAAGCATGTCATTCATTGTCGCTGACAAAAGAAACAGAGCAGCTTCCACACAATTTCACAACAAAATCCTTGCAGAATGCACATTTGCACATGATGACTATTCAGATGCAGGTGATGCATCGGGGACGCAGGACAGACGATCGCGCGTTCTGCTGCTTTCACATTGTTGCAGCCCCTCCGGACATTGAAATGAACGGACGTAAAGATCGCTTTCGGACGTGATCTCGTGTCTCTCACCTCTTGTCCAGGCAGATGATCCACTCTGAGGAGGCCACGGAGTGCGCAGAGGCGTGCACCGCTACCATCTTCGGCTCGACCGGTGTGAATCGTGCGTCGCGGATTGCGTCGACTCGTGCGCATCAGCATCAGGGTTCGCCCCCCTCCCCGCTGGCTTCTGTCGTCAACTGGATCACCGTGGCGTGGACTCATCGTCACCACGTCCACGCACGACGAACGTTTACAAGCGTGACTGCACACACTGACACGAAGTACAAGTCACGTTACGAACAGTGAGGCATTATTGGGTGCACATCGTGTGTTGATGATGATGGTTAAAATTAAATAACGTGGTTGCCATGCTTGGAAAAAATAAAAAATAAAAATAAAAAACCTTAAGTGGGAGGCTGGTAATGTAAAGGAAGAAATAAGAGCCGGCTAAAATGAAGGTTTTGTGGATGACAGCGGTGGTGCTGATGCTGCACTGTCACCATGGTGACGGGCACGCAGTCAGCGCAGATGCTGCATCCAGACGATGAAATGTGAAGCGCTGTCAGGCGTCTTGTCCTCCTCTCCGGGGGTGACACTGACAGGAGAGAGACCCAGGGAGTTGACTGTACTGTAAAAAGGGAAAACGGTTGCAGTTGTTAGCTATTTCTGCCGGATCTTATCTTTAACAACCTTTGGTGTAACCTAATGAAGTCTGGTTCATGAATTCATACATTTAAAATAAAGTATTAATTAATATAGATATTCAAAATGCTAATACTAATAACTTCTTAAAGTAGTCTGGTTGATTCAGTCATGGTAAATAATATTAAAGAATAACTTTTAGCAAGTTTCATATGAATAATTAATAAAAAATTAAAAGTAACCGAATAATTTTTTTTTTTGAAATACTAATATTAAATCATATTTTACCTAAATACAATATTAATATAATTTACCTAATATATCGCAATATTAATATAATCACTAAATAAATGAAGTAATAATTAATTGATTTATTTAAAATGCTAAATTAACAACTTTTGGTGTAACGTATTGTAGTCTGGTTGATTCATTCATGTTAAATAATACTGAAGACTTTTTTCAATATTAATAAATAATATTTAATAATTAATTCATAAAAAATAAATGAATAATGAAACTATGTACAATACTATTTTACCTATAAATAGCAATATTCATATAATTTACCTAATATATTGCAACATTAATGTAAATAATTATTAAATATGTTAAAAATATATAAATAGAATTATTTTAAATGCTAATATTAATAACATTTTTGGTGTAATGTAATTTAGTTGATTCATTCATGGACAATAATATTGAAGAATTTTTGCAATATTAAAAATAAATGATAATATAATTATTTAAAATACTAATATTTAATAATATTTTACAAACAAGTAATAATAATACCTGCATGAAGTATATTTTAGGTCGCTCAACAAAACAGTGTAACTTGAAAAACATTAAACTGTTTGAGATAATCAAAAGAATAAAGACACTCTTTATTTCCTGCAGTGCAAATAACCACAAAGGGAATAAAATATGCACAAGTTCAGTGTTCAGGAAACTGGTAAAAATCACATTCTCTGCACTAAGTGCATTGTACATGTAACGGCACAAAAATATATAACATTTACAGTGTAGCACATTTAGACATTGGCTGATGTATAAACAGCAAAGTGTTCTTATTTCAAAAGAACAAAGTGAGAAAAAAAGCTTCTCCAGCCAATTTAACAGTTTGCAAGGTCACACTGACGCATCTCTATAAAGAAAAAGCAACCACATGATCAAGCATCATCTCTTCTGAAGCTCACATTTTGAAAGCTTCTTCCTTCAAAGAATTTTCACACTGTGTTGATTGAGTCTCTTGATGGCAGAGGAGACGATTCTTCTGACGAATACTTCAACACTCACTCGACCTGAATGCAAAAATAGCTTAAAGATTATATACAGAACTCTATAGGTTAACTAGAGAGAATCTCTGACACCTCTGTTTATGCATAACAATGGCCCAATATGGCTTTCATTGCAGTCCTGGCTTTTTTTGGGGAAAGATGCTACATTGAATTCATATTGAATCAAAGGGGAAAAAAAATACTCACAGGTTCAATACCACATAACTTACAATACCCAATAAATGCCTTTTATATTAAACATTTCTATTCAAATCATAACTTAATGTGAATAAACACTATTTTACATAATGTAATATGCATATATGTGACTTTCTAAAAATATAGCACACTTTTGGTGTCACACTACGTTTATAAAAAATATATATTTTCATTATATATTAGCATACAATTATGAATGATCAAACGTTACAATTGTAATCGGTGAAACTGATACAAATAAAAATATTTGTCATTATTGAAACCCAAAATGTATTTAGAAGTCTTCTGAATTTTGCATGCAAGCCAGTTGCTACTTATTTCATTACCAAAAAACAAAAAAAACAATATTGCCTGAAATTCTGATACCCAAGAAATAACATAAGCATACAATTATGAATGATCAAACGTTACAATTGTAATCGGTGAAACTGATACAAATAAAAATATTTGTCATTATTGAAACCCAAAATGTATTTAGAAGTCTTCTGAATTTTGCATGCAAGCCAGTTGCTACTTATTTCTCCCACATTACCAAAAAACAAAAAAAACAATATTGCCTGAAATTCTGATACCCAAGAAATAACATCATTTGGACCCCTTTAGTAAGAAAAACAAGTAAATAATTATAAAAATTAAAAATTGTGTATTCTCATTTTTAAACAAATTGACTGCAATCATTAAGTGGAACGTTTCTATTCATGTAAAGTGCCAATTACATAATTCTTTTTTGAGCCACTGTGTCCATGAGACTTTTTCACTTTACGATCTTTATACACATTCCCTCATTAAACACTTTCCGGCTATTGAGTGTTCAGGAAACGTCCTGCATTCAAGACGAAGGAGTGGAACAGTTCATGTTGGGTATCGACTTGTAGACAAAGTAAAAGTGTTGACGGTTCGGTCGACTATGTATCTCTGCCTTTATCCACTGTGGGTGTGTGTCTGCAGCCAACTGCTGGCTGCTGTCATCCGTGTAGAGAAAGAGGCCGTAGTTTTCTGGATCAGACACGCGGAATTTGAGCGCACAAAGGCGGCACACTTCTTCCGTCGTGGCGTAGGGCTGCACCTGAAGGGTTTTAGCCGTGCAGCCGCTATCTGCCTTCTGCAGAGCCACTCGCATGTAGTTCTTCACACAAACAAACAAATAGACATAATAGTGAGTTTTTTACCACTCAAGAAACTAGGGATGCACCGATACATACTGAGCTCCTGTACTCGTACTCGTTAAAATGCCCCGATACCAAACGCCGATACCACACAGCATGTGATAAGTGCCATATTCAGACAAAAAAACATCGACAACAGACAGCAGAATGGAGTTATTAGAGATTAAAGATGTCTACGAAGTATATGTATGCAATGAATATAAAACATTCAGTATTAATGCCTGTATAGCTGATTTGCGCCAGCTGGTAAGCAAATCACGCTGAGTGGATTGAGCGCGCAGCGGCGCAGATGCGCAAGCTTGTCGAGTGAATATCCCTTTCTCACAGACATCACTGGAAAGTTTGTAGTTCGGTCGGATATGTCAAAAAGAAGTAAGTAAAGCAATGCACAAGTTACTTAATGGTAGGGAGAGAGGGAGGGAGAGAGAGAGAGAGAGAGAGAGCGCGCACTTCTGTTGTGTGATCTTTATTGATGTTCGCTCACTTAGCACGCATCATTTGGATTAAAACTAATCCGTAAAAATAAAACCATTCCTAGGGGCATTCACTATAAACATAATTTATTTTCAACCTCTTCTGTTGTGTGATCTTTATTGATGTTCGCTCACTTAGCACGCATCATTTGGATTAAAACTAAATCGTAAATATAAGACAATTTATAGGGGCATTCACTATAAACGTAATTTATTTTCACTCTTAAGCATACACAAATTTCTGGTGAAAGTGAATATAGTTCATTTATGTAAAGTGAGGATAGCAAAATAAACTAAACTGTGATATATTATACCCAAAATGTCTTCATATAGTGGACTACCAGTAAAATTGATACACATTTGGGACCAAAAATGATTCAGACCGAGTCTGGGGAAAAATTGAAGTTCAGGTTTGCATGAACCTGGATGACAGCATGCCCAGGAGACTATATGCTGTCATTAAGGCTAAGGGTTGCCCGACTAAGTATTGATAGTTTGATTGACAGCTGTATGAATCATTTTTGGTTTATTGTAATCCATTACATACCTTTCTATCAAAGTTATCTGACATTATCAAGCTGAATTTGTTCTGACACAGTTTAACTCTGAGTTCTTGTCATATTTTATTACCATTTTCTAAACTATAGCGAATAAACTGTGATAATGTGAGAAATGTTGAAGGTGTCTGAATAAATTTAGGTTTGACTGTATCTATTTGATAAATGAAGTTAACCAACTAACATTATACATACTCTTTTTGTTTCTGTACCCAATATTTAAAAAATTTACAAATGCAATGAAAATATTGGTATCGGTACTCTGTATCGGCAAGTACCAAAAATAAAAGTATCGTATCGGGCGAGTACTGGAAAAAGTGGTATCGGTGCATCCCTACAAGAAACTTTATGGAATGAAAATAGTCCATATCCATAAAATACAGTCAGAAACTATTCAAATGTTGACCACAACCTGATTGGAGGTCAGGATTTTACCTGGAAGTCGTCCACTGAGGGCAGGTTTCTCTGCAGTGCGCGACGCTGGTGCCACTGGTGGAGTGTGCCGCGTGTTGCAGAGCTGAGTATTCGTGCAGCCTGCTCTTCCTGGAAGTTCTTAATCAGTGACATTGCTCCGTATGCACTGGTGAGGTAATATCCTCCTGTACAGGTTCAAGAGAAAAGGAGCACCTTAATAAACAGTTCAAACATCCAGTGAACATTCCAAAACCTAAATAAAAACTTGTTTAGTGCTATAAAGTATTGCTAAAAATCTACTTGAAAAACCTACACTACCATTCAAATGTCTGTTGTCGGTAAGATTTAAAAAAAAATAGTTTTTTGAAATAAGCTTACCAAGGATGCATTTATTTGATAAAAATACAGTAAAAACATTAATATTGTGAAATATTATTACAATTTAAATTTTTCTAATTTCCTGTATTTTAAAATGGAATTTTTATGGCATTATTCCAGTCTTCAGTGTCACATGATCCTTCGGAAATCATGCTGATTTGCTGCTCAAGAAACATTTCTTCTTATAATCAATGTTGAAAACAGTTGTACTGCTTAAAGGGGTCATATGATGCTGCTAAAAAGAACATTATTTGAGACTTCAGTCTTTGCAACTTTACAGATCTTCTTTATGCACCAAGAGCTTGTAACACTCCAAAGAGAAAGGAAAAATTGAAATCGCATCATATGACCCCTTTAATATTTTTTGGAAACCGCGATATTTGCTGGAAGAACTGCATTTATTTGAAATATAAATCTTTTGTTGAATCAAATTAAAACAACTAAGAAATATAAAAGTATTTATTTAAATGTGTTGGTTGTATCTATAGAAACAAAATATTATATTTTCATGGGAGTAGGCAGAGTTAAAGATCTCTTTTGGTGCGCTTTGCTCACTGCGACTCTGATTGGTGAAATTGTCTCTACAGAATCGTGGGTATAGTTTTTCACCACAAATTCTGCTATTAAGCAATAATTTTAAAAGTCAGTTGAATTTACGCAAATAGATGGCTTCAACAAAAGTATATGCAATCAGTTAACAATCTCTGAGCTCATAACAGGTCTGTTTTAAAAGGTTTATTAGTTCAGTCAATTTCCCTAAGGAGAAAATGAATGGCATTTTTACTTCCAAAACCCGACTGTTGCACTCTATAGGCAACAACAGACAGCAAGGCAGTTCACTAGGTTTTAGGGTTTTCAAAACATGCATTATTTACTGACCAGACTGGAAGTACTGGAATTTTGAAACTGACACAATGGGGAAATTATCACTATAATGAGGATCATCCTATCTGTTACATTAGATCAACAAGTCTGTGAATTGACTGTGTATATACATCACAATACATCTTTTCCATGAAAGGCTGCCACAATGAGCTCAGTAAGTATAGGAGACACACCCAGGAGGAAATTACTCTGTGGGGAACAGAACTTCGTCACACATGGAAAATGCTTGTCCGTTCTGAAACTCCTCCTACAGTTTGGATACTAGAATACTGCACAGTTCTGATTCTGATTCATTAACTTTGTTAACATTGTCTTTATGAACAATGAAAGAGAATTCACATGAAATGTTGGACTGGAGAAACTAATACTGTTTTAGTTCTGAAGCTCTTAAATTTTTCCTCTTGATACAGAAAATCATTTAAAAGAATTCAGACTTATGTAACATTATCACATAAGTATGAGAACATGGTAACACACCTTCTCCATGCAGTAATGTGGGATCTATAAGCTCCATCATATACAGGATCTCAGTGTCCAACTGAGGCATGTCACACTGGACCAACACATATGTCAACATGGGTAGGAAATCATCTGCTCCAAACATCCGCACTGGCGCACACAGAGGAAACATTTATTAGTGACCTTTACACAAGCCATTCCAGCAAGTACCTTCCACTTGATTAAGGTGCAAATACTTTTGCCTTTCAATTACTGATCTCATACACACCTAAAACATAAATCACATATAAAGCCTTTAAATAAACCCAGAAGACATAACTCCACCCATACACACCTTCATGGTCTTGCATAATACTGTAGATGAGTTTGCAGACTTTTAACAGCACCATAATCTTCCTCTCAGGTGAGTACATCCGGCACATGGCTCTGAGTTTTCGGCGGATCCTGTGGATGGCGTGGGCATCTGGAGGCCGGGCTCCGTTCACGCCCAGCTCGTGAGGTTGTTTGGCTTTGGCCAGGGCCAGATTCTCCTGCAGCCTCTGCCACACTCCACCGGCCACCTGGAAGTCATGCAGCACTGACTGCAAGCAGCCGTACAGAGGTTTCAGCACACACTTATGCATGGCCTTCTCCAACATTGGATCTGTGAAAGAGATGGAGTTTCGGTTAAAGCTTTAACATAAAAGTTTCAGAGACATTAAACATCTTCATAGTGATACAAAAAATGAGTAAAAAGGCATGAAGTTCTAAACTTTCTATTTAATACAGTTTTACAGGAATTGTTCACCCTCAAATGAGAATTTTGTAATAATTTACTCAACCTTCATGTTGTTCCTAAACTAAACTAAAGAGATTTTGAAGCAGGGTTATATTGTTAACTAATACTAAAATTACAATTGAAACTGAAAAAAAAAATTTGTCACTTAAAATAAAATAAAAACGAACTCAAAAGAAAAATATATATAAAATATTAACTTATTTTATTCACTTACATTGTATGGAAAAGAGCAGCATAGAAGATCAGTCATACAAGTTTGGAGCGACGGGAGCATAAACAACAAATTATGACAGAATTTTCATTTTTTTGGGTGAACTATTCCTTTATATCTCAACAGTGTGAATCATTGCATTTGTGGTGCATTTTCAACAGCCAGAGCATTTTACATTGAGTACCATCTCACATCAACTTTAATGCAATTGTGTAGTTTTGGTGTGGCAGAAACCCAATGAACAGTTATCATTTGATGATGAAGAATACAAACTGACACTTTTATCCAAAGTGAGGAACAGCACAAATATCTGTTCTGCACCAGTAAAAAACCAAAATATCCAAAATGCTTAGAGTGCGTACAATGTCTGCTGAGTTTATGGAAAAACTGACACAAACATTACAAGATATATTAGGCCTAAGCTCTCGGTTATCAAGTCTTGCTGTGAAATAAGGGCTGTCTGAGATGCAAAGGGCAAGTCAAATGAGGACAAAAGCAGGCATCAGTTGTCTGTACACTATAGAGTTCTTAAACAAGCAATTACACACTATGACAATAACATTTCTATAATGAAACTGTATTATTCAGAGTGTACACAAGATGTATAAATATTAGAAGCTACAGTTACCTGTAGATTACAGATTCATATCATGCACCAAAATGTTGTAAACCTAAAGAATTCACAAACATACACACATAAACACAGACTGAGTTACTCCTACAAACACACATAACTCATAACAAGTAACTTATCTTCCTTGTGAGTGTGACTAACTACAAATGACACAGACATACAAAACGGAGAGCATGAAAAATATAATTAGATTAGTCTTTTCAAAATCTGTAACAATTGCACAATTTTAGTTGTGCAACATGTTCTGAAGCTAGGGGGTAGAATTTAGCAGTGACGCTAGGGACATGTCCCTACCAAAATACAGTTACTACTATGTCCCTAGTAATAATTTTGATCAAACAATTACATTTAATGTATATGCAACCAATGTTATTAAAATTTTGGCTGCATCTGAAATAAGGCATTCCATGTTACTTGAGAAGTTTAAGCAAATATGTGCTCTTTCACAGTTCAGTTAAGTTTACTCTCTTTAATTTTATCTTAATGTTTTTAAAATGAATGTAGAAAATTGTTAGGTGCATTATCAACAAAATTAAAAACAAATCTGAAATAAGAGTGTGGGGTTTATCAGTCAATCAGAGATATTTTATTTCGGTTATGTCCCTACCAATGTCAAACTCAAACCTACTTTGATTGCACTAAAAAAATTTAAAAAAAATTACATTGGCTTGCTGTACATTGGGTATATACATATGGACATATGATTAGGATAATCATACAGTACCATGGCATAAATCAAAGTAACATGCTATTACCATTTAATTCCTTCACTGTACCACATTACTATTTTGTAATAAGATAAATGTATTAAAAACACTGGTGGCTTTGTTCTTCAAGGTGGTATGCTAAACATTTGAAACATACAAAAGTGTATAAATTAAGGAAACTTAATTTTTATTTATTGTTATGTCCCTTATGTACTATTGTGTAACCATGGTAACACAACACAGCTTCAAAGCTAATAACATTACAGTTAAACAAACAAAGAAAAGTCTGGCCTTTGGAAAACATTAATCATTAATGTGGAAAGCGTTAGCCTATCTTTAAGCTAAACCAACAACATATTGCTGGGATAAATTACACAAATTTAAGTGCTCCACTCATGAAGAATTTGAACACTTTATTACTTGCCTTAGGTTTAATATGCAAGTATTATTTTTGGTATGATTAAAGTATTCATGCAGAATTCTAAAATTTCTGCCTTCAAGCTCTCTTTATTGGTTTTTAACTGACCTATAAAAATGTTTTTAGCATATTTAATATATTAAGAGCTATAAAACAGGATTATATCACATTTGTCTTAAAATGCACTTACTCAATATTTAATCTGCTATTAAAGTGACTGCTACTCTGTGTGAATTGTGAAATGCACACCTCATTTCAGCTATTTCCATAGCTGAAGCTGTCATTTTTATGCAAACCAGACTAGTTAATATTATATTGTTGGCCTTGCACTTACCTCAAACACTTTTCAGTGCAACTGCAGAGAGGAAAGCTGAACTCGAAAGGTATTTCAGATATAATGCTTGTGTTTCACTGCTCAGTTGCTCTTGTTTTCAATTTTTGCTATTCCCACCACATTATCAACAACCTTTTAGCCTGCATTTTCCACTGTATAAAAAAGCTGCTCAGTACTGATAAGGGTAAACTCGCATTCAAAACAAAATATGTTTCTAATGTCAGGTATATACTGTATAACAATGGCATAATTGCATAGCCCCTCTTTTTGGACTATATACATAATATATTATTGAACTTTCAGGTAAGTCAAAGTAATCAGACCTTGAATTTGTGTATGAGTTTGCAAATTGCACAGACTAGGAAACAAAAAGGCAAGCTAAGGATACAAAGAAGATAAAGATATCTGGAAGACAAAAAAGATAACATTTCAAAATGACACAACGAATAGTTTCCAGATACTAGTAAAATGAACAGTGGATAAAACCCACCCACCCAGCCAGCACAGCACAGTTACTATAAGTAAGCCAGGGGTGTCCATTCCTGCCACCAGCAGAGTTTAGCTCGGTCCCTAATTAAACAGACCTAAACCAGCCTAATTAAGGTCTTTAGGATTACTAGAAATTCCAGGCATATGTGTTGGAGCTAAACTCTGCAGGAAAGTGGCCCTCCAGGAACAGGATTAGATATCCCTGAAAGTAAGCCATTCGTAGGTTGATCTCCCAGAAAGGTGCTTTCAAAATTACTCTGGTTCAACATGGCTCTAAAAAGAGTGCTGAAATCTACTCACCTATCTGGTCCTCGGGTATGTAAGACTCTATAGGCGGGTTCATTTCCGAACTCTGTTTGAGGTAAGCTTTCATCTGGGTCATGAACTGCCGGATGTTGTTGTTTGTTGAGAGAAGATTCCCAGAACGCTGGAACAAAAGAGAGAATCTGATTAATGGTTAACAACACGCATGTACAAACTTCATACCAACACAACCACAAAAGCAGCAAACACACCCACTCCAGTTTCCTACCATAGACCACCACACGTTGACAGCATACATGTGAATTTGAGTGTGTGGCTATATCTAGTTACAGCCAGGCTAAAGCGTCTGTTCACTTGTGTTGTCCTCAGGCCCACTGAAGTTCTTGGAGAAATTTAGCGAGCTCAGTCGTGCATTTCAGAAACCTGATTCACAAACGCCATTCAAACACACCCAACACAGAGCTGGCCAAAAACTGAGTCATTTATCCAAACAGACAGCGTGTATGGGGAGGTTGATTTCACAGAGCACACCAAACCCCTCCTCTTTCTCCTCCCCATGCTTTCTGTCTCTCTCCCCACCCATTTCAGTATGGTTTCTCCTTATGTTAGTTTGATGGGCCAGTTTCTATTAAGAATAGATAGTTATTCCACAGTCAGCCTCGTTCAAAAGAGACTTCAAATTAATGAATCAAACTTACAATTGTTCTGTGGCAACTTTAGTGTACATATTAAGGGTGTTGCTAAGGTGATACAAGTGTTTTTTTGTTGCTGTTGATGTTTTAGTTCATTGCTAACTTCTCAAAAATGCTGTCTCTTACTAAGGCAGAATGGAACTATCACTGTTAAGTAACAAAGGAAGTCCCGTGTCGGTACACACACACACACACACACACACACACACACACTCTCTTTCCCTCAGTGACCTCTATGCTCTGATTAGCTCACATATTCTCACACGCTATCTGGAATGTCAGCTGGACTAATAATAACAACAACATGGAACTGAATAGTAGGCCAGCATGTTCACAGCTGTGGTGACGAAGAGACCTAGTCAAACACATAGTTACTCACAAGAGTGGCAAAGTTTCCATCTTCTCTATGAACATTGCAATATTTCTTCATTATTTGACAAATAATATTTGACACTGGTTCAAGATGGTCTGAAGCATGTAAGAACATACAAAAATATTGCATTACTAATTATTACTTGTACATGCAACATGCCTGAGTATACTGAAAAAAAGCACTCTGCTTTCCTGACACACTTGACATCACGTCACCCCTGCTTTTTTAAGGGAGCACCAGTGGCAGACCTGACTCACTTGTTGCCCTAGGTCAGAGACAGGAGCAAGAAAAAAAAAAAAGACATACTCTGTTTGAGGTAAGCTTTCATCTGGGTCATGAACTGCCGGATGGTCTGCAGAAGATCCTGGCTGGACGAGTGGCAGTTTTTATTCTCCTGCACAAAGCTCACATAGTCCTGCACCAGGCACCCAAAGTAGGAAGTTTTGTCTTGGGACAACTCAATGATCCGGAGCAAGATGCGTTTTTCAGGTGTAGCCAGTACACTGAAAACACCTCGGACCTTACGGAAGTGTCCCCTTAGTGCTCGTGGGATAACAAGCGATCTTGGACGCGCTCCCACTAGTTCGACCGTCAGGAGTTTCTTTGAAATGCGGGAAGCATGAAGGCGGAGATGCAGATCCCTTTCAAGTCCCACACCATAGTCGTCCTCATCATCGTCGTCATATTCATCACTGCTGTCATCCGTGGAGAGGCCTTTGCCAACACTTTGGGATAGTCCCAAAGGGAGAGGATGCAGAGGAGAATCCAGAGAGTCCGATGAGGAAGTGGACAAGCTTCGGCCATTTGAGCTTCGCCCTTTCTCTTCGGGTCCAGTCCATTGCTGCAGGATGGTGCTGCTGGTCGGGTTTAAAGGAGTCGTATTGGCTTGAGAAAGGGCTCTAGAGATGATCTCGTCATCTAACGCAATGGTACAGCGGTAGCTGTCAATGTCTGGTGCTTGTGGAGGTCGTGGTGGAGGATTGTGTCTCTGACTCATTCTGGTAATGCCAGCACTCAAAGGCATAGTCTTCGGGCCTGGGGATGCAGTAGGGCTATGAACCAAAATACGAGGAGGAGGTGGTCTTGGTGGAGGAGGGGGACGAGATTTTCCGTTTTCGGCTGTTGGGCCCTTTGCGATCACTGTTTCTAAATTTCCAGTGACATCTTGCTGTGTCTTGAGAAAGACAGGGTTGATAAAAGACAAAGCACTGCTGGAGCAACTTCTTTCACCTTCTGAGGTATTAGGGCAGGTGTCGGTCAGTGGTAGTGGGACATTTAGCTTCCCAATTGGGGTGCAGGTTTGATCCTCTATCTGTAAGACATCAGAGCAGCTGCCGTGAGAGATCGGCGGTCTGTCCTGAACCAGAGAACTGTCTGGGGTAGAGAGTGTCCCTTGCTGTTTGTTGAGAGAAGATTTCCTGACACACTTGACATCACGTCACCCCTGCTTTTTTAAGGGAGCACCAGTGGCAGACCTGACTCACTTGTTGCCCTAGGTCAGAGACAGGAGCAAGAAAAAAAAAAAAGACATTTTTACAAATGTAAGAAGTGTTAGTCTGTTTGTGCTACTGCTGTTTTCATTTAGTGTGCATGGGGACCAGGGTTCTAATCCTAAAAACTATTATGTGATTTTTAAAAAACAAAATGAAGCAAATTTGATAATTATCATTTTTATTGTATGAAAAGGGCCATTTTGAATTTCTGATAATACTGAAGATTCTTTTTGTGTTCCAAATTCCGCTTGGCTCCAAAATCAGAGAGAGTGAATGACCCCTGAATTTGAAAGGACGTTGGACTACTGCTATTTTAGTGTTTGGGATATTTATTCTAATTTTAGTTAAAGTCTTTGAAATTTGTTGTGTGCTTTTGTCTTTTTTTAAATGTCTATAGAGTTTGTTTTTTTTTTGCACATGAAGTTAAACTAAATGAGAATGAGAACTATTGCTTTGTCAACTAAATGAAATAAAATACATTTATGAAATAAAAGACTTTTTTTTTTTTTTTTTTTTTTTTGATTTTATTTCAGTTAATGTTTATTTTATTTCAAGTAATGAAACTATTTTTAACTGTTTCAGTTTTAGTTAATAACCCTGCGTTGGACATTTCCCCCCTAACCTATTTTGAGTAAATTCACAATTCATCTGTCACAAATAATACACATAATCACAGATATCTACATTACTGTGCAGATATTCATATAGGTGTAGCATACAAATAGATAACCATGGGGCCAAACAGGAAATAATGTATTATTATATATCATTTTATATATATATATATATAATTGTATCTATATTAAATGAGATATTGATCATAATTTTAAGTGGATTAGACTAGATAGGTCAGTACCTGCTCCTTGCTGAGCCACTTCATGTAGATCTGACAGGGTCTCAGCTGAGTGGATGGCCTCAGGAAGCTTCAGGGTAAACGGCAGAATGTCTCTAATATTAAACAAAGAGAGTCAGACAGACAAATAGTGTGTGAAAGAGGGTAAAAAGAGGACAAAAAAAGGAGAGATTCAATCTTTTCCTACATAAATGGTGACAGATTATACATCATGTAGATCTGACAGGGTCTCAGCTGAGTGGATGGCCTCAGGAAGCTTCAGGGTAAACGGCAGAATGTCTCTAATATTAAACAAAGAGAGTCAGACAGACAAATAGTGTGTGAAAGAGGGTAAAAAGAGGACAAAAAAAGGAGAGATTCAACCTTTTCCTACATAAATGGTGACAGATTATATACATTGCATTCAGGCTTGAAAAAACAAACATCACATGGAGAACTGTTGCAGTCTTCTGATTTATGGATGATATCAAATAAATCATTTGTACTTATTATTATTTGGCCATATATTACTTCATCCTGTTGCTGATAAGGGGAATGAATATAATTGTGTTATATGAGCAGTGGGTTCATTTCTGCACAATCATTCATTGTTTCTTTACTCATAAATATTGCATATACTGTCTTTTATGTTCTTATCACACTTTAGCACCGCAGTGAAGGTAAGGACGGCAAGATAGCAATTAAACATTTTATCCATTCCAAATACAATCAAATTGTTCATAGTGGATTGTTTCTTACAAATGTGACCGTGGGAGTGGTTGAGTTACATGCATAAACTACAGTGCTTAGGGTTAGGGATTTGTTCAACTTCCTAATCATATGTATTAGCAATAGCAATAATGATGCTTGTCTTAGCAGTCTAATAATTGACAAGTTTAATAATTATCAGTCATTACAAAAGTGTTACCTGCTGATACAATAAAAGGCCACAAGACGAAAAAGGTCAGCAAAACTGATTCCTGAGCCCTCCAGAGAAAATGCTAGGAAAAAAAGAGCAATACACACCAATAAGGATTTATAATCTCCAAGCATTTTCACAATTCCATCCATCATAAAAGCACAGGGGCACTGAGTGTTGCTCTAGATTCTTCATTTGTTGGGAATTTTCGGAAAATGTTTTGGGAAATTTCTGAACTGATTCTGAACTTGGCAGGTAAAACGCTCACAAGCCTTCAGCGCCCTTCAGACCACATCCATTTCCAAGGCACAGAGAAAATTCACAGCTGGATTTGCGCCCAGGCCAAAAACGCTAAGGTGTGTCTGATATTTCACATGGAGAATTTCTTGGAACTGCACTGCTGTAAATACCTGAAATGCTGCCAGGCTACTATTGTGATGTTGTGATATTAGCTGCAAATATGGTGCCTCTGTTTCAAACCAAGCCAGTTGCAAATAGCTGCTCAGGTTAAAATAACTGATGACTGATTATAACTACCTGTGAAACAAGGGAAAAACTCCCCATTCTGACTCAAAACAGAGATTTATTGAGTCTCTGCCAAGCAGTCTTTGACCTCACAACTGCATGCACGTGAAAGTAACAAGCTGCTCAGTATCAACAAACAATAAATAAGATAGATAACCAAAAAAAAAAAGAAACACCCACATATCTTTCACAGCCAAACATCCTGAACTGATGGTGACACAGTACACAGAAGTAGATATGGCTAGATGTGAGCAGAGTGTCAACAACAGTTATGGCTTAATATGATATAAGGGATCTGACATACTGTACTGGCTCTCCTTTACAGGGATGTGAATGACGGAGGAGTCTGAGCTACCATCCATGTGGAATGACAGGACCTTCTTTTGGAGGACAGATGATTTCCACACTAAAAACACCTGGACAGGAAAGAAAAAAAAATGCTGATGCAGTAGTTCTTAAAGGGACAGTTCACCAAAAAAAAAAAAAAATTCTGTCATCATTTACTCACACACACGTCGTTCCAAACATGTATGAATTACTTTTCCTGTTGTGCACAAAAGAATGCTGGGAACCAAAAAGTGGATGGTAGCCAATGACTTCCATAGTATGGGAAAAAAAAAACTATGGAAGTCAGTGGCTAACATTAACTTTTTGGTTACCAACATTCAAAAGTGATGTCAGAATTTTCATTTATTGGGTAAACCATACCATTAACCTTTTTTTTTTATCTCCCAGTTCTAAAATGAAAGTACTGATATTAAATTAATTTACCATGATTCATTTTGTGATTTCAAACTTTTCAAGAACCGTATGCTCTTCAATAAAACAATGAGGGGGTGAAAAGAAATGTGATTTCAGTTTACATCTTGATTTTATGCTTTTAAGCATTTTAATTTAGATTGGAATTAGATTATTCTGATTTATTAATAAGAATATATTAATTTAAATACTCATTTTGAGGCCCCCTACTGGTTAAGAACCACAGCTCTAATGGCAATGAATTTGCTCTCTGAGAGTCTATAATGTGTCTTGAAAAGTATTTATCAAATATCTCAATTAATTAAAGTCTCTAGTTCATATTTTTCTTGTACCAAATGTTTCACCGATTAATCACAAATTCTGTTGTAAATGCAAATATTTTCTATAATAAATGAGTTTTTAGCTTTAATCTCCTTAATTTTTCCTCTTTAAGGAATAATGGATATTCTGTCATCATTTACTCACCCTCACGTAACCACAAGCCTGCATGACTGACTTTCTTCCGAGGAGCATGAAAGGAGACACTCAGATGAATGTTACGCTATTCTTTACTGCAGTGTGCACTCCTTCCAAGTCTTCTGAAACCATACAATATTTTTTGTATTTTGCCTGAATGAGAAATGCTAAGTACATAACAACAGGTCTTTCCAACACACAAACCTATAATTATGGCTCCAGACTCGGAAAAAGATTCATGAAATGTTTTATGATACTTTTTGTCATCTTTGAAGCTGTATAAATCAACATCCACTCTGGAAAACAGAAACCTGGACATTTCATGGAAGTCCAGTGGGGCTGGAACAAAACAAGGGTGATTAAATGATGACAGAATCGGAATTTCTGTGAACTGCGTCTGGTGTCTTTGTGTTCACTCTCTCTGACATATTTTACCCCAGCTGGTTGCTGCAGTAGGATGCCAGAGGCCTCTTGCTGGTCGATGGAAAGCAGAAGCCAGATGGGGTGTGTGTGTATCAGTTTGTCCAAGACACTCACACTTATGCTCGTACCATCCCCATCAACCGCAGGATAATGTAGACACAAAGCGCTCATCTCTCCCTCTATCCTACAGGGAACAAAATGGGTGTAGTGGGTTGTCTTTGTTTTGACAGAGACGTCTTTTATGTCCTTTAAAGGAAGAAAAGGCATTAGAAAGACTGACTAGACGCTGGCGCCCTCTACTGGACTCTACTGTAAAACATACAGAGGTTAAATGTGTATTACAGAACATAAACATAATAGCAAAGCATTATTAAAAGTACAGATAATATAGTTATTGTTTAATTTAAATGCTCTGTTATTTAACTTACTGTACAATGATGGTCTTAATGCATTCTCGATATGTGTACGGTAATGTGTACTCACTCTGTGAACATAGAAATGTCTGGATCTCTGTCTGGATCTCTGTCTTTTTCCTGCGCAGCACGAACCATTTGCTGCTCCAATGCACCCAGTGACAATGCAAACGCATCGACAAGCTGCACATAGACAGAAAAAGTAAAATCTTACTTGTCCAAGCACAAAACATCTCGGTGAATTAATGTAGTGGCCTTTTTAAAATCCACTTTGGCAATATCCCTTTAGCTAATAAAGAATCTGAAAAAGAGAGAAACTGCCAGGAAACCTGCAGAGAACAGTGAAGGAAAAAGAAAATGGAAAGCTGGGCGGAAAAAAAAACAAAAAACAACAAGCTGAAAGAGGCTTATTTGTGACCAAGACAAGAGAAACAGCTTCAGCCTCGCTGGACATCCATCCACGAGCAGGAAGCAAGTTAGTCACTTTCCTGTGTTCTTAATCTATTTTCCCCGACAGGAAATGGGATTTACCATGGCAACACAACCCAACCATCACAGCATTACTCTATGCAAGTAGCTACATGTGATCTTCAATGACGACAGTAGATATGCAAATAAACTCCATTACAGACATGACAAAAAAGTGTTTAACTGCAAGCTATAAACTCCTAATTGTGAGTTTAAATCTCACAATTCTGACTTTTTTCTCTGAATTATAAGTTTACATCTCACTTTTCTCCCATTATTGAGTAAAAATATAAAAAAGGTAATTGCTACTTCTTGTCTCACAATTCCGACTTTTTTCTTGCAATTCTGAGTTTATATCTCATTCAGAACTGTGAGATATAAACTCAGAATCGAGAAGTAAAAAAAAAATTCAGAATTGTGAGATAAAAAGTTGCATTTTTTTTTTATGTACCTTTATTATCCTGTGGCGGAAACAAGCTTCCATACTCATGTAATGTAAGTTTATTGGATTTTTGGGCACATTTTATTGTCCACCAGGCAAAAAGTTAATAGGATCACATTTTAAAAAGTAATAGCACATCTCTTTTCAACAAAGTGCATGATTTGGTGTAACATTCATGTCCACTGCACAAATGGAGTTTAAAAATGACTAAACCCTCTATTTTACATACATTTAAATATTCTGCATAGTATAGACAACTGTCTAGTTTGTAGATAAACAACATAAACAACAACATAAACAAAATTAGCAGTGCCTGGCAGTCTGTTAGTGGCATTCTGACCAATACTACTTTCAAAATGAAGTAATGTTTCCAATATGCCACTGTGGTGACTGCACTATGTTGACTCCATGTAAATATTCTGAATCACTCTGCCAGCTTCCTGCGCTTTTAATGTTGACCTGCAATTATGGACTATTTGGGATTAAATTGCAGGCCATTAAATGCAGATAAAAACAGAATCAAAAGACGGTAGTTCTTCTATTGTAATTCCTAGTGCTAGTGAAAAATTCCTGGAGTGAATGTCATAAAATACAACATAAACTAGGCAAAATAAACTTTAGATGAGCGAGATGGAGGATGAGGACGGAACAGAGATAGCTTGTTTATAGATAGATTGTTTAGACTGAATGATAACATTAAAAAAAGCCCTGGAGAAGAAGAAGAAGAGATGAAAGACTAATTAAGGAGAGAGGGAGAGAGAGAGAGAGAGAGAGAGAGAGAGAGAGAGAGAGAGATGTGCTGCAAAAAAGAAACATCTATTATGGAACGCTTGAATGGTCCTGTCTGGGCAACAAGTCCTGCTGCAGTCTCACACTCTCTCACACACACACACACACACATACTCATACTCATACTCATACTCATACACACACACGCACACACACACTCACGCACGTAAACACGCGCACACACACGCACACACACACACACACACTCTGTCCATTGATTTTTATAAGGAACACCAGACAGCCAGTGAATGTACGCAGTGGAACAGAAAATGTTCTGTAGGAGAATGGGGATATTTATACTGATCCAAAAACAGTCCCTGCTTGAGCACATTGGCCAATGAGAGTTTGTAGCACCATCTGCGTGTCCTGCTCTTATTAAATTTTAACACAAATCTTTTAAGACGCAAACTGTTTTAAGCACACAGGCAGCACAGATTAAAAACTCAGAAAAATGAATTTGGAACTAAACATTATGCAATGAAAAAAAAAAACATCTAATGGAAACAATCTTCTTTATTGTTGCTTAGAATTCATCCATATTAGGATGTAACGATTCACTCAACTCACGATTCGATTCTATTCACGGTTCGATTCGATTCGATTCACGAATTTATTTATTTTTTTTAAATGAGATTTAAGACAAATTATAAATAAATGTGTCCTTTTATTATTGCTTGGACAAAATGCTGCATGTTTCCTTGTGAAACTGAAATATAACAATATAATAATATACTAATATAGCACTTTTAATAATATATATTTTTAGTTTTAATATGTTCTAATATATTATTGCTCTTTTGTTGGTTTTGATTGCTTCTATTGTCCTCATTTGTAAGTCGCTTTAGATAAAAGCGTCTGCTAAATATTTTTTAACAAAATGAGATTTAAGACAAATTATAAATAAATGTGTCCTTTTATTATTGCTTGGACAAAATGCTGCATGTTTCCTTGTGAAACTGAAATATAACAATATAATAATATACTAATATAGCACTTTTAATAATATATATTTTTAGTTTTAATATGTTCTAATATATTATTGCTCTTTTGTTGGTTTTGATTGCTTCTATTGTCCTCATTTGTAAGTCGCTTTAGATAAAAGCGTCTGCTAAATAACTAAACGTAAATAGAATGTAAATGTAAATAACAAAACTAAATTGAATTTTTAAAACAAGCCCCAAATCAAATAAATAAGTAACACAAATAAAATAAATCTCTTCATATAAACAAAATAAGGCTTTGTCTGTGCTCTTTCCGCTGTAAACAAAGCAGCGCTGCACTTATGAACTTTTTATATGCATTATACAGAGGCAAGATGAAAAGAAGAAATACCATCTAAACTTTTCTAAAGACAGTAAGTTCCCCTCAGACATGCATTCATATAAACTCTTACCCCTAATTGAATCGCAATTTGTTTAGCATCTCAACCGATTTGAATCGTCACATATTTGAATCGATTTTAAACCGGCTAATCGTTACATCCCTAATATTACATTTATACATTTTGTGTTTAAATTGTCCTGCATTGTGTATGCTATGAACATGAATGATGCCTTAAATCATGCAGTTTGTTAAGGAGAAGTGTGCTTTTCCCCCCATTACTTCAGATACTATTAGATCAGATTTAAAATTTCCAACAATCACACAGTAAAACTGGTAAATAAAAATGCCAAAGTTCCAGAATAAGCTGACTTGGGAGTGAGCACTTTTTTAAAATATGCAAAAATCGAGTCTCAAATGCTGCCCTTGATTTGTCAGGATCCTGCTCAAATTTTAAGTGCAGATATAGAAATGTTCACAGAAAGATCATCTTACCTGAAGAAAGCTACCACTTCTGTCCATCCGGCTGGGTTGTAATAATGATTTCATTGCCATGTTGCTCTTGTTGTTTTAAAGTCCTGCAAGTAAAAAGAGGCATAGGATCACTAAATAAGAGGAGTCTGATATAAAATTGTCTGTTTTCAGTATGACTGATACATACATTCATACTGTATTTGCCACACTCTTGTCTCCCTTCGCATTCAGTCATACTCTGGAATGTCTGTTATTATGTTATTATGATAACAGATGAATGATTTTGTCTGTAAGCCTGAGATTAGGGTCTAGAAGCTGTAATCATTTCCTCAAAGAGACAATTACACACTGACGGCCCTGTCTGCCTGACAGTCCTTGAAATTATTAAACAGTTATTTTCTAAAGCAATATGTTTAATAAGTATACACAGCACTGAGAAGTACACAATCATATTTTCTAAAGCAATATGTTTAATAAGTATACACAGCACTGAGAAGTACACAATCATATTTTCTAAAGCAATATGTTTAATAAGTATACACAGCACTGAGAAGTACACAATCATATTTTCTAAAGCAATATGTTTAATAAGTATACACAGCACTGAGAAGTACACAAAAATAAAGTCGCACACACATATACAGACAGATGCAAGCACAAGATCTTAAAACAGATAATTTCCTCAAAGCTGTTTAAAACACAATTCGCAGAAGTTATTCATGGGAACATACAGTGAAGTCAGTGGTCAGATCAGTTACACAGCTCAGTTTCAGCTTGTGCAACACTGTGTGGTTAGTAAAGGCACCAGATATAAAATACAGTATAATGAGATTAATGAGATTCTACACACTCCAGGTCACCTGCAAAATAGCTTTATTGAACAGACTGGACTCTTAATTACAGATCAGGGAAGTTATCCTGTTTATGTGAGCAGCAGGTGTTAAGTCATGCCTCGCAGCATCAATGGAGCATTGTTGTGTTCTTCACACTATTGATTCTATCTTTTGGGACATCCATTTTCAGGCGATAGTCTGAAGTGAAACTAGTGTGTATGTGAGTGTGTAACACAGCTGCAATCAGACAAAGACACATGTGATGTGACCAATACATTGAGACTGAAAAAAAGAGTTAGAGGGTTTTTAAAGAGTATATAAAATCCCCTCTGTCACATACACAAGTGGACATTCTCTCAACCAACTTCATGATTTTTAAAAATGCTGAAAGTCTTGTATGCTGGACACAATACATACACAAGGTTTTGACACTGAAAAAGAAAGACTGTATGTTAATTTATAATATAATTTAAAATTATTAATAATAATAATTTACAACTTATAAATATATTTTTTGGAAATATTTACGTTCATATACATATATATATACACACACATATATATACATATACACATATATATATATATACATATATACACACACATATATATATATATATATATATACACACACACACACACACACATATATATATATACACCAATGGCTTTGCGACTTGACACAAAGGCCTTGACATAAATAATAATAATATACATAACTTAAATATAATTTTGGAAATATTTACATTTCTATATATCATGATTTATTTATTTTATATAGCCTATCCTAATGTCTTTGAGATTTGACAAAAAGGCCTAGAAAAAATTTGTAATTACACAAAATATATAAACAATCTATAGAATTAATTTATGTATTTTTCAGAAATATATTTTAAGTAGATGAATGGATAATTGAATATATAGAGTATATTAATTTCTATTATATTAATAAAAATACACTTAATAAAAATACAACACTTAGGGATTGTTCCTAACATAGGGAACACATATTCACGAGTATATTAATTTCTATTATATTAATAAAAATACACTTAATAAAAATACACTTAATAAAAATACAGTAACACTTAGGGGTTGTTCCTAACAATAGGGAACACATATTCACTATTAATTAAGAGTTTTTCCTAAATACCACAGTCACGTCTTAGCCCGATTCGGACGGTAATTGTTTCTCATATGGACGTCTGTAAAAAATAAATAGACTTATCACCTCAGTGATTAAACTCGTGGATTCCGAATAGGGCTTAGTGTCATTTCTTTATCCTGTTAAAGGCGGTTTTGAAGCGTCTGATATTTATATTCAGACAATTACACGCTTTTATCCCCTTACAGTTCCTACTCTCATAAAATATGCGCAATGCATGTTGACCTTTAAACCTTAATTTAACTTTCAACAACCGATATTTCAGCACAATAAATGTTTTTGCGCTGATTATTAATTGTCTCTGTTTTCCGTCTGTCTGACGCGCTGGCGCTCATTCAGTAAAGATTAAAATTTAACACAGACTGTCAGGACGGACCTTTATGCAAAAATGGAAATGCTCGCGTGAATTTGTGACATTTATACAGAAGGATATGGCCGTTAACGGAACGTTTTTTTGCGCTGAAGACGCACACGCATCTGTTAAAGCGCCTGACAGGGCAAGCCATTACGCTAATGCATTAGCTTAAAGCTTAAAATAAAGAATTCTCATGTTTTGGGCAGCTTGGATCACGTAACTCTCCTGCAGCATCTCATTCTGTTTCCTCCACTATTTTAGATGCATTTTGTCCATAGAAATAAGTAATTCAGTGCTTTAATTTGACGCGACCGGCTAAAGTTGGACAAGTATGTAAACTCCGTTGGACGTGCACTGTGGGCAGACCCGATTAATCGATAATGAGAATAGTTGTCGATGATTTTCATAATCCATTTAATCGATTAGTTGTTGCAACCCTAATATGCATGCTAATAAGCAGCAAGTTAATAGAGAGAATTGGTCCTTAAAATAAAATGTTACCAAAAATACTTAGGCCTACATACCCCACCCCCCCACACACACACACCAACACACAGAAAAAGGAAGCATGTCTTCTTACACATAATCCATTTCACACACCAGTGACATTTACACAGGAGGAATCTAAATACGTTCCCATATCCATTGTAAGAACATCATTCTTAGTAACCCAAACCACAGAAAAACACATGCATACTTCACGGGAACATTTATCAATAGGCAATGAGGTCTGAGGCTAAAAGTCTGTTTTCTGCACAGGAGGGTGAATGCTCTACAGCTCCCTACCCTCTTTCCCCCTCTTTCTGTGCACAAACACACAGATCTTCCTGTTTGTTCCTGTCACTACAGTGTATGGAAGCAATCTGATGTGATATATGCTTAAAAATTCCTGACAAAGATGGACCACATCACTGCACCAGTCCTCAGTGCAAACCAAGTACATGCTGGCGCCATCAGCGCTGGAGATCCCACACACAAAATAGGACCATGATTGTACTCACTGCATCTTTGTTGTGGACTTGTGGAATATTAAAATGCACAAATCATTTTGTAATAGTTGAACGTAAAGCAAGCTCGCAAAGATTACAGTGTTCATATCATGCACTGTATTAATTTTACAATGCTCTCTTCATAAATATAATATATAGGCTATTTTTTAAATATGTATTTATTCATATGCCTGTATAAAAGTCATATAATAAATTCACTTTTCAGATGAATCTTTTTTTTTCCAATTATTTAATTTGTCTATCAGTTAATTGTCAAATCATAATTTTAAATACAATTTAAAAATAGAATAGAATTTAATTATTTTAAGTAAACATTATATTAAGTGCCATATATATATATATATATATATATATATATATATATGTGTG